TAATAAACGGATGTGCTGAACCTATATCGATAAAAATATAAAAACAGTGCTACTTAACAAATTTATTTTTCGTAGTGTTCTATCTTTCATATATCATCAAGAGCTAATTGTCCTTCTTTGAAAATACCACAAAAAAAAAAAAAAAACATTTTTTTTATTAGTGGTACAAAATGTACTTAGCTTAGATAATTAAATTACAGCAAAGATATTCTATAGAGATTTTGCAAACGAAATTAGTTCTATATATTTCTTTTGATTAATTCAACAAACTAGACTTTCATATTGTAATTACCATTTTTTATCAATAGACAATCACATTTTTCCGAGAATAAAATTTAGAAAACAAAAGCCCAAATATCTATAATCAATTAATTTGTCTTTGTTTAATAGACATTTCTAATTGAAATTGTTCACATAATTTTCTTGTTTCTTGTGTTAATGGATGATATTCTCCCATAGATATTTGTACACGTTCATAAGTATTTTTCATAGTTGATTCAAGAATTAAATTCGATATAGTTTCACTTAATAATAATTCTAATTTTAAATGTTTAACATGTTGTAATGATACATATGCATAATAATATGGTAAAATATTATCATAATAATTTAATAAATTTTTACTTGATTGATATGCATTTAAATAATCATTTTTATTTATAAATTTATCCATTTGTTGTTCTTCATAATGAATTTTTTCTAATAAAATTAATTCATATTTATTATTTTCTAAACAACGTTTACATTGACAATTAAAATAATAATTATTACGTAAAAGATCTTGTCGATTTTCATATGTATCTAATAAATCAATATAATTTATAGTCCATTCATTATTGAAATCATTTGATATAATTCGAATAGTTAAATAAATTCCATTGAATACTGTATGACAATTTGGTCGACATGAATGATTATATATAGTTGCATCTAAATATAAACCATAACCAATAGATTTTAAATCAATTGAATCATGTATTGTTAATGTATTTATAATTAAACGACAATAAAATTCAAATAAAATTTTTTCATCAATATCATTAAATAAATTCCATGATTTTAAATATTGATTTATTAATTGAAATGTTTTATAACGTTGTTTATCATTATTAATTTCATTTTCATGTGTTTTAAGATCACTTAAACAACGTTTTGTATGTGAATTTTCTTCTTTACCATGATCTTGTTTATAACGTACTATTAAACGTAAAAAAAGTCTTGTTAAATCATATTCATTTAGAATTTTATGTAAATGTAAACATTCATGCTTATGATAAATCCAATCTTTTCGTTGACATGATATTGAACAATATGATATACGATGACATTTTGAACAACGTTTCAAATCATTTGATGAATTCAAACATTGTGAGCAATATGTTGTTGTTATAGTTGATAATGATGATGAAAGTATATGAACATAAGGTAATATTGACGACAAAATATTTGTACCACACTTTACCATCTTTTAATCTATCTATATATATATATAAAGTTTGTTTCTATCTATAATAAATATGTTTAGTGTTCAGTTACATTATATGACACAAAGAATAGAAGAAAGAGAAAAAAAACCACAAATAAATATTGCCGTAAGTGATAGATGGTACGGCATTCTCTAACTATGCCGACCCGACAAGAGAACGAGAGGGAGAGAGAGATCCTCACAAGGGAAATCGATTTTTTTTTCGCATACGCTGATGGTTTATTGCACTACTCTTTACCATAAAATAAAAACAAAATAAGAAAGAGAGAATTAGATCATATGGAGGATGAACAGAAAAACATCAAGAAGACGAAGACGGGTGTAAACTAACCACTAGAACGACTGCTACTATTCTATACATATCCAATATCAGTCAAGGCGAGGTCAACCAGCGGCAGCAATATGAACTAACAGTTAAAGAAAAGAACGAACATTCAAGCATTTTATACACTCACCCAATAAACAGAACATATAGAGAACAGATAATCTCTGACGATGATGATGATGATGGTGGTGGCGTAGGCTAAAAAAAGAGAAGACGAAAAAAAAAGAAAAGCTGATCTCGTTGATTTACGAGACTAAAAGGAAGAGAAAAAGTGGAAGCCAATAATACAATATATTCATTAGTGATTCTTGCCCCCCTTTTTTTTTTTCTCTCATTGTTAATCAATCAATTTGCATGAGAGAGAATATCATTAAAGAAGTTGATATCATAGAAGACAAAGATGTCTACATGATAAGCACATCTACGACTAGTAGATAGTAATGCACATTATCATTCATCAATTTGTTTACCTTTTTCTTTTACGAATTAAATGAACGAGAACGACTTTACACAGTAGAAATATTTACATAACTTATATGAATACAAATGAAAATAATGCATTTCATTTGGAAATGAATATAAGAGAAATATGAGATAATATATAAAATAGATCTTCATTTTTTCTGCATAAGAATTTAAATATAATCAAAGAGAAAAA